CCCAAGAGTGGTATAGCTGGATCTTGGGGGAGATTGATTCCCAATTTTCTAAGAAAGCACCATATTGATTTCTAAAGTGGTTGTACAAGCTTGCATTCCCACCAGCAGTGGAGGAGAGTTCCCCTAGTTCCACATCCTCTCCAGTATAAAGTGTCTTCAGTGTTTTTGATCTTAGCCATTCTGACAAGGCCTCAAACTTTTAATTCTTCTGTTTCAGACTCCTGAGTGACTGGGTCCTGATCCACACTACCAGGCTTCCCTTAAGTTTGTTGTTGTCTAGGTAGCCCTGGCTGTCCTGGAACTCTCTATGTAGACCAGGTTGGTCTTGAGCTCACAGATCTGCCTGCCTCTATCTCCCAAGTGCTGGCATCAAAGGCATGTGCCAGCTCACCCATCTCCTTCATAGATTGATTTTTTAAAAATACACATGCCTGTAATCCAGCACTCGGGAAGCAGAAGGGGGAAGAGCAGGATTCAAAGTCGCTCTCAGCTACATAGAGTATGAGACCAGACAGGGCTACGTGAGATTGTCACAAACAACAAATGAACAAAACTAAAAGCAAAACAACCCCGTAAAAATCCAACAACTAATAAAAAGTGATTATATCAGCAGAATTAATGATAATATTGCTAATGTTTTGAGATGTTCTCACTCTGTAGTCCCAGACAGCGTAGACGGTTGCCCTGGCTAGCAAACTTGTGGCAATCTTCATACCTCAGCCTCCCAAGTGATGAGATGACTCTTCAAGGGGAAATGCTAGAATCACGGCGGCGGTAGATAAACGCCATTGTCCACTTGCCCGCTGCCATTACTTTCCTCCTGACTTTGTTAGATTCGGGTTTGGTCTCTGATGACGCTAGCCACTACTCGCGTCGTATATGAGAGGCAACAGCGCCCTCTGGTGTCCAAACCCACAAAGGGAGGGATAAGAGAAGAGGAAGGGCAAAGTCACGTGACTCTACTCCAGGGTGCCAGACCAAGTGACAAGACGTTAGTCTGACAACACGTTACCTGTTCTGGAAAGCTAGGCGATTAAGGAGCCTTGAGAGACGCTGTCGCAGATTCGACTAGCATCAGGGACTGTACTGGCCGGAGCCACCCTAGATGGATGAGAGCCGCTGGAGCAGGAAGGAGGTAAAGTCATTTCCAGAAAGTTTTGCTGCACTAATCATCCTTCCACAGAATGGAGGGAACAAACCTTTCCATAAACCACGCACAAGGACTCTGTCTGGCTGTAGGAAGGCATTTTTAGCGCGGTGTTTTCGAGCGGGGCAGCCAGGTGAGCACACGGGTAGCAGGAGACGCTGAGTTCCCTTCCTTGGGCTGCTCCTTAATCCTAAGGCAACCGCCATACTGGCCCCTCGCTCGGGCATTTGCTGATAATCCCAGATCTTTCTGAATGAGGACAGGTGAGGAGGGTACTTTGGACATATGACCTCTCATTTGATTAGTATTCTTCAAGTAAGACGGTAGCATCTAGATCGCCTTCGTATGGTGAGGGTGATGTACAGAATTGCTCAAACCCTGACCTCTTTCTGCTGCCCCAGGACGGACCTCTGATGGTAGCTGTGGAAGCCAGAGCCCCCACGTGCTAGATTCGCTCGGCAGAGAAGGGCTATGAGCTGGAGGAGACGGGGTGCCTGCCCACCCCGCCTCCATTTATCACACAGTAGCCATTGATGCTGGCAGCCTGCTGGAAACTGGGCAGGAGACTGGTTCCCGTGGTCCCAGGCCATCAGGTGGGAAACAGAGAAGGGGTACGGAAAGTGGGTAGTGTGAGCATTGCAGCTCAGATGGAAAGGGATCCTGGCAGTCGGGAGCAAAGGAAGACCACAAAGTCCCTGTAAGCATAGCAGCTTATACAGCTCTGCTCCAGGGAAAGGTTTCCCTGATGTAACAGCTCTGCCCAGGCAGAGGAGGGTTTCCTCGGCAAAGTTGTTACAGCTCTGCTCGGCTAGGCGAAGGTTTCTCCCCCGAAAGCATTCCAGCCTTGCCCCTCCACCCAGGCTCTGCTTCCACAGACCTCATTCAAGAGATTTGTTGGGAGGGAAGAATCCAGGAGGGTGGCTGCCTCTGGCAGGGTGGGAAAAGGCATCAGCAAACTGAACAGGTTCAGGGCTTATACAAGGCTTCTTAGGGGCGGAGTTTTTCCCAGGGAGAAGATTTTCGGGGTGGGAATCGGTCAGATTTCAAGTCCCTTGAGCTTGGAGAAGCTCAGATTGGCTAGATTTTGTGCTCAGGGATTGGTTGGTTGGTTTTAAGCTCAGTTGGTCAGGGGCAGATTTGGCTCTGGTTTTCCGGGCCAAAAGTGTGTTTCTTTCACTGGCCCTTTTTAGCCTTTCCAAATGCTAAAATCCTAATCAATTTAGCTTTTGTAGGTATAGCTTCTTTCTGACGACTTTGTTCACAGTGTCAACTCTGAAAATGACCGGAAGTGTCATTGTAGTACAAGACTTTGCACTCTGCACCTCTATATCTACCTTCTCATGAGCAAAAGCAGTGCATTTAAGGATTCGGTGGGAGCAACAGTGGAAAGTCCAGCATGGGGCAGGTACCTGCACAAGGAATTTGGCTGACGTTCAGGTGGAATTAAGAGGCAGCTGGACTCCAGGTATCTTCAAGGTTTTGGAATTTAATTCCCCCGAATACACTATGTCTGAAAGGATTTGCGAGTGTGTGTGTGTGTGTGTCCTTGCAGACCTGGCCACTCGTGTCTCTGTGCCTTTGCACACCTATAATCCTCATTTGCTCACCTGTCATTGTAGGTAATCGAGCAGCACATATATCCCAAGTCAAGAATGGGTGCACATCAGTGTTTCCAGCAGCCCCAGCACCCAAAAGATGATGGGCCAGGTGTTGGGGTACACGCCTATAGTCTCAGCCCTTGACAGACTGAGGCGGAGGGATCAGCAGTTTGAGGTCAGCCTTACTACATACAGCATAACCTTGTCTCAGTAAAGCGACAAAGTGGGGCGTGGTGGTGTACACCTTTTATCCCAGAGGCAGGAGAATCTCTGTGAGTTTGAGGTCCGCATGGACAGCCAGGACTACACAGAGAGACCCAGTTCAAAGAGAGAAAGAGAGAAACCAACTAAACAAACAAAAACAGTCTGGGGCTGGGACAATGGCTCCATGGGTTAGAGTGATTGCTGAGCAAGTGTAAGGATGTGAGTTCAGATCCCCGGCCCTGGGATCCCAGCACTCCTGTGAAAGGATGGGAGGTGGAGACAAGAGAATCCTTGGAAGCTCATGGGCCACTAGCCTGGATTATGTGATACAGAGAAAACAATAAAGAGACCCTGTCTCAAACAAGATGGAAGGCCAGGCCTGCCGCTCAGGGCTGTCTTCTGAGCTCTACATATGCATCTTGTGCACACAAAACAACCAGTGGCTCATCCTTGAAGGTGGTCCTTGGAGGGTCAGGGGAGTCACTGCAGAAGGAGATAGACAAGGAACAACCTCCCCATCCCCTCCCTCTCCTCCTTATTCTCAGTCTTTTTTATTTAAAAAAATATTTAATGATTTTATTTTATGTGTCTGAGTATTTTGCTTGCTTCCCTATTGTGTGTATGTGTAGTACCTGTGGCTGCCAGAAGAGGGCATCAGATCCACTGGAAGTGGAGTTAAAACATTTATGAGCCACCTTGTGGATGCTGGGAATCGAACTCAGAAGAGAGCATCAGATCCAATGGAAGTGGAGTTAAAACATTTATGAGCCACCTTGTGGATGCTGGGAATCGAACTCATGTCCTATGGGAAGAGCAGCCATTGCTCTTAACCCCTGAGCCATCTCTCCAGCCTCTTATTCTCACTCTTAGTATTGTTATTCTTGTTCTTCCTCTTTAGCTTTTTAACCCTTCTTCCCACTGGCCTTTTTCTTGGTCCATGTGAAATGTTAATATGTACGGGGTTTTCCTGGTTAGAGTGTTGGGGGTTGGAGTGAGAGGGGATATGAGTAGGGCTTGGAGGAGGGGAAGATGCATTCAGGACATCCCAGTCAGCAGTTAGAAGGGCCCTGAGGACTGTGGTCCCCCAAGTTCCTGGGGCTGATGATGGTTTGTGCCTTACTAAGTTATGTAGTTAGTTGGTTCTAAGCTTTACCATGCATCCTCAGTACCAAGCCTAGGCCAGCCTGAAACTTACTGTGTGGTCCAGCCTGGTTTCTAGCTCAGAAACCTAAGTCCTCCTGACTCAGTCTCAAAAATGTTAGGATGTCAGGTGCATGTCATCACACCTGGCTGGACAAAGAATTTCTGTTTCAAGTTGGTTTACAAAAAACAGGCCGAGAAATGATGCAGAGAAGGGTAGGGTGCATGTTATGGCCACTATTAATAGTTTCTCCAGAATTTACAGTGTGGAGAGACTTGAGATTTACCTTGAAATTGCATTTGTAACACAAACCATTTTCCACCTGATTGCCTACGGCGGGCGGAATCAGTGGGTCTGTGGGTGGAGGTCAACCACTATGCAAAGCAGTTTTCTCAAATGGCCACAAGGGGGTGCTACAGCCCAGGGCAGTGGAAACTAAGGGCAGATCCTGGCCTGAGAATTGAGGACCAGGCAGGAAAGGAGGGTAAAACCAGCAGTTTAGCTGGGTGTGGTGGCGCACATCTTTAATCCTAGTGCTTGGGAGGCAGAGGCAGGCAGGTCTCTATATTGAGTTCCAGGCCAGCCAGAGCTACAATAGTGAGACCCTGCCTCCAAAAAAAAAAAAAAAAAAGGAAAACCAGCAGCTGGGGAAGAGTGGAGATGGGAGGAATTTTCTTCTCCCTACAGATGACAATCCTGATTCTATTTGCTTATTTATAGACAGGGTATCACTATGTAGTCCATGGCTGGCCTAGAATTCAGACGGACTCACAACCCCTGCCTCAGAGCTGAGTGCTGGGACTGAAGGTGTGAGCCCTCATGCCCAGATGATTCATTCTCTCTCTCTCTCTCTCTCTCTCTCTCTCTCTCTCTCTCTCTCTCTCTCTCTCCCTCCCTCCCTCCCTCCCTCCCTCCCCCCTCTCTCTTCTGTGGCCCTGGCTGTACTAGAACTAGCTCTGTAGATCAGGCTGGCCTCAAGGAACTCAGAGATCCACCTGCCTCTGTCCCCTGAGTGCTGGGATTAAAGGTGTGTACCACCACCTCCTGGAGCCCAGCTGATTCTTGTTTTTGCCCAGATTCTTGTTTTTGCTTGCTTGTGTGTTTTTTGAGACAAAGTCTTGCTGTGTAGCCCAGGCTATCCTGTTGCTCTCAGTGATTCTTCCTGACTGCAGGTATGTCCATCTACTACATGTCTAGCATGTGCATGCCTGATGTGCAAGGAGGCCTGCCAGATGAGGGTGGATCCTCTGGAACTGGAACTTCAGAGGATCCTGACCTGCCATGTGGGTGCTGGGTTGAACTTGAGTGGTCTAGAGGTGCACTTATCTCTGAGCTGTCTTTCCAGCCCCTGTTTCAACTTCTTTTTTTGTTATTTTGTTTGTTTTGGTTTGGATTTTTGAGACAGGGTTTCTCTGTGTAGCCCTGGCTGTCCTGGAACTTGCTTTTTAGACTAGGCTGCCCTTGAACTCAGAGATCGCTTGCCCAGCATGTGCCACCACTGTCTGGCTCTGTTTCAGCTTCTTGCAGGCAGTGATTATGAGTGTGTGTCACCATGACTAGCTGGCTTGATTTTTTTTTTTTTTTTAATTTCAGGTGTACATAAGGTGGGAGGGCGGGACAATTTCCTTTGAACATTAGGTCCTGCTTATGGAAAAGGTGTTGAATTTGAAGGCTACAGTTCCAGCTTGACACTTTAAGGCAGGTCCCCCTTTGAGGGCAGGGATAACTTGGGACACAGCACTGGGAGGCAGGGAGCTTGACTCAGTGGGCTATTGTTTGCCTAACACAGGAGAGACTCTGGATCCATCTCCTAGAACCGAGAAAGGAATCTCCATCCCATACTCAAGAGGCAGAGGCAGGCGGATCTCTGAGCCTATGGAGGCCATTTTTGTTCAAAACATCACAATAGCCTAGAATGACCTTGAACTTCCGATCTTCCTGCTTATGCCCTTGATTGCTGCAAGTACAGGTGTGGTTTGATTCCTGGCACCCACAAGGTGGTTCACAACCATCTGTAACCTCCAGTTCAGGGGATCCAATGCCCTCTTCTGGTCTCCAAAGGCACTGAGCACATGTGGAGCACAGACATACATGGAGACAAAACACCCATACACATAAAATACAATGGAAAAAAAAATCATAAATGCTAACAAGGCCATATATGTTGGTCTGGAAAAATCTCCACACCATGGTATTATTTTATGTAGTCTATCAATTTTTAGTCATTTTAACTATTGCTGGATTTTGTGGAATACTGAGCCAACCGAAATATCACACAGAGAATTTCCAAACATAAATTGTTGTTTAGTTTTAGGGTTTGTTTAGTTTTAGGGTTTGTAAAAGAAGACTTGTTCGTTTTCGTTTTATGTGTATGGATGTTTGGTCTGCATGTCTGGCTGTGCACTGTATGTATACATTGCTTGCCAAGGTCAGAAAGAGGGCATTGGATCCTGTGGAACTAGAGTCACAGATTCCAGCTGTGAGCCACCGTGTGGATGCTGGGAATCGAACCCGGGTTCCGTGGAAGAACAGCCAGAGTTCACAGCTGGTGAGCCATCTCGGCAGTCTTTTTATGTTTGTTTGCTTGCTTTTGAGGCAGTTCCTCACCGTGTGGCCCTGGGTTGGCCTGGACCTTGCCCTCTAGACCAAGCTGGCATCGAATTCCCAGGGATTCACTTGCCTCTGCCTGCTGAGTGCTGAGATCAAAGGTGTGCGCCGCCACCACTTCTGCCTGGTGTGGTTTGGTTTTGTTTTGTTTCAAACAGCCTCTCATAGGCTCTCGATCCTCCCACCTCCATCTCCCAAGTCCTGGGACGGCGGATCTGCTCCCACAAACCCACCTTTCCGTCTGTTTACTGGATGGCACTGGCACAGCGATACCTGTGTCATAGTAAAGTGCGTAGTAAAGACTGGGGCGAGGAGCAGGTGGCCAAGGTAAAACGGGGAGACTTTCGTAAGCTGTGCTGAGGCAATGATCCTTGGCCGCAGAACCAACAGCAAGCGCGGCATCCGTCCAAGGTTGAACAGGCAACGATGGGGCAGATGTTCTCTGCGTGAGGTTGCTGGAGTCCGCGGGGCAGTCTTGTCAATGGTTGTCCTTAATCATTTGGGAAAGTTTCTTTCTTGATTTCACTTTAGTATCTTGTAATGCTCGTCAAAAGCAATTCCACTTTCTTTCATGCATTCATTTTTTTTTTCCTTTCTCTTTTTCTTTCCTCACATAACCGAGGCTGGACTTGAACTTCTGATGCTCCTGCCTCCACCTCCTAACTGCTGGGATTATAGGTGTGTACCACCATGGCAAGACTATGCCGATGCTGCAGGGAATCAAACCCAGGGCCTCGAGCGTGCTCGGCAAGTACTCTGCAACGGAGCCGCATCCCCACCCTCCGTTGTGGATTTTGACAACTGCCACAGAAGTCCTGGATCAGGCCTGGTGGCGCTCATCTGCCATCCTCTCAATCAGGCTTCTGTCAAACTGCAGGGCTCAAGTGATCCTGTCACCTCACCCTCTCAAATAGCCAGAGCTGTTAGAGCACGACCCTGGCCCGTCACATCTTAACCACTTTAAAAACAAACAAACAAACAAACAAACATGTATTCATTTGTATTTTATGGACATTGGTATTTTGCTTGCATGTGTGTCTGTGTGAGCGTGACAGATCCCCTGGAACTGGAGTTAGGGACAGTTATGAGTCACCGCCATGTGAGTGCTGGGATTGAACCTGGGTCCTCTGGAGGTACAGCCAGTGCTCTTAAACCTCTGAGCCCAGTGCTCTTAAATCTCTCCAGCCTCCCCCACCCCCACCCTTTTTTTAAAGACAGAGTCTCATGTAGCTCAGGTTGGTCTAAAAACCTTGCGATGTAGCTAAGCATGACTTTGAACTCTGGGATTATAGGTATGTGGCACTGCCCACACGCTTGGTCAATACTCTGACCAACAGTCTATTATTGAACATTTCAGCCATGCCAATCTGATTGGTAAAAACCATGCTCTTTTTGTTTTGTTTTTCGAGACAGGGTTTCTCTGTGTAACAGTCCTGGCTGTCCTGGAACTCACTGTGTAAACCAGGCTGGCCTTGAACTCACAGAGATCCGCCTG